ATGCCAAGTAGCTGCACACATTATCTTATTATATCCTTACAGCTTTTGAAGAAAGAGATTATTATTAGCTCCAATTTATGGATAAGGAATCTGAGACCCAGATAAATTGAATAACTTTTCCAATGTCACATGGTTACTAAGTGGAGGAACCAGAATATGAACCCCAGACTGCTGGCAAAGCCTATTCTGCAAAGGACAAAACCCAAGGTTCTAAATTAGAAGCAGAAAGACAGCATGGGAGAGTTACGGAAATTTAGCACAACAGCTTAGTTCCTACTCGGGGTAAGAAATAAATTTTAAAAATGCTCTAAACCTAAAGATGCAAAATTAATCATCAGAGATTAAGTCCATCTAGGACTAGGGTGATGTCATCATATTTTTAAAAAGTAGCAATGTTCTCAGTGATTTTGAATGTCACGATCCCTGACAAGTATTTATAGAACAGTTGGCTAAACATAGAGAACAGTACATGCAAGATAGAGTTGGTTTTGGTAGGTAAGTTCATTTATTTGAAAAGTTCTCATATAAATATTTTTACACATTTCAAACGTCAGAAAAATTAACATTTAGTCTGTTGAATTTTATAAGAAAAGATACATAACTTGATCTAATATTATAACAAATATGAAAATAAATTAAGTGGGCCTCAATTTTTCATGTTAAAGTCTCATGGGAATTAAAAAGCTTTTACAAATACGTAACTGGAAATACTTGTCAATTATACATTTACAAACTGGACATTCTTACTCCTTGGGGAAAGCCCTGGATGTAAATTGTCCAAATGTGTTTAAGAATCTTTTGCATATTGTTACTGACTGGACTGAGATCTGTTTTTTGCAACTTATGACAAGTTTACATATTTTGTATGACTGTTAATACGGAGTTCTGAACCAGGGAAAGGCTGACTCTTAGATTCAGGAATCTGTGTATTTCGTCGTCCTTTCTAAGGAATAGCATATGTGTAATTAAAACAGAAAAATAAGCATCTCTTTTTGGTGAAAAAAATAAAAAGTTTTGGTTACCATCTTAAGACTTTTTCGTAGTCACTGATAGCTTTTCTATTCACCTGGACAGGAGTACTGTCCCACAGCACAGCTGACGCAAGAGACATAGACGTGAAGAATGACTTCTCTCTTTATTGCTGGTGCTGACCTGGCCATTACCATGGAAATAATGAGCGGCTGAGGCGTGATGGTTTAAGAATACAGAGGCTTTAGAAAATAGGAAGGTGACACTCTCCTTTCTAAGAAAAAAATAAATATTTATCAAAATCATCAGGGCGACAGTAGTGAGCAATCTCCTAAACACAGAAGCTCTTGGCTAGAGAAATTTTTGAACAGCAATAACGATGTCCTATTCAATGGATAATTTGTTTTATGGAAGAGTTGCAGTATAGAAAATTGAGAAATATTTATAATAATAATACACATAAAGAAATGAAGCCAACTTTTCTGGAAAATCATGAAATACTGGGTCCTGAGTTTCTATTTGCATGATAAACTGCAGATTTCCTCCTTGAGGTGAATACTTTAGTTTGAGAAGTTTACCAACTTGGTAATTAACCAGCAATTCAGCTGACCAAATTTAGATGAAGTTCCCGAAGAAGATCTGGTAGATTTTGTCCAGTAGGGTTTAGAACATTTCTGCATGATTGTAGAGTAGATGAATTGCTATCTGTTTTCACATCCTCCCTCTTCAGAAGGGCAAACAGATGTGATTAGCTAGTTTGATTTTATTTATACTTCATCAATGACATGATTTTCCCCCCAGTTGTTTTATTACCCATTAGTGGTGTGAACACATATTCAGTGAATGACTATGTGAGATACGAGTCTATTTTTCCTAAGGTATTTCCTTATCAATTGTCAAACTCACCATTTACTGCCTCTTTCTCTTCTCTGACACAATCAGCAAAAGGAAGAAGGGTCCTAAGAGAGTTTTTCCCTAGTCCTTATTATACCTTATGGCTAGAGTTATACCATATTATACCTTATGGCTACCTTACACCTTATTATATCTATGGTTGCTCCTAACGTGCTTTAGGGCTCCCCTCTTTTTTCAGTGTTCTCAGATTTATTTGGCTTCCATTAGAATTAGGCCAATAAACTTCACCCCTCTCCCCACTGTGGCTGAGCTATTTGGTTTTCAAATCTCTCTGTCATTATTACCATGGAAATATACCTACTTTTCCCATTCATCTTGGATCTTCTCAAATACCCTTCTCATCTCTCAATCTCTCTCTTGAAACTATCTGAATTTTTTCCCATCCAACTCTTCAATAAATATTTATTAAGATTCTATTGTGTAGATAGTATGGTAGGTTATGGGGCTTCAGAGGTAAATATAGTGCTTCCTTCAAAGGAACCTGTTTACCCTCTTTTGGAAAGGGGTAGGAAAAAAATTGGGAAGATCGTGTTTTATGCTAATAGGGCTAAGAAAGGGAAAGCTGAGCTCTTTTGATGATTAAAAAAAAAAGCAGTTTGGCTTCGTTCCTGCCATTTTGTTTTGACCAGGCCCTGTATTTAGTACTTAAGTCACTGGGACCACACTCTTGGAGAAAGGCTGAATTGGGGTTTGGCCTCCAAGAACCCAGGCAGAACCCCTTGGCCTTATTGCCTCTTCCTGTCTAGAACCACACCCTTGGTGTGAGGCCAGAAGTGGATTAGCCTTGGGGCCAGGGAGGAGTGAGCCAGCATGTTCAAGGCTGTATTTGCCTCCATGTTAGTCTTTGTTTGGGACAATAAAAATGATCAAATGAGCCTGTTTTTTATGTTCTTATTGGCAGGGACTGCATATCATGTTGTTTTTGCCCAAAGCTTATTTCTTTTAGTGGCCGAATTTGAAGCCTGAGAAATTGAGTCTTGGGTCAAGAAACTGGAATAAGCTTTAAAGGTCACATCAACCTGTTATTATTTTATGTAGGTTTTGCTGGTGATACCTAATTCAAAGCTCTACAAAATTCAGGAATGAAAATTATTGGTCAAGAAAAAAAGGATATTTAATTCTGAGAACTTAGAAAAAGTCTCCTCATCCACAATGTGGTTGTCCAAACAACTCGAGCCAGTTTAAATCAGTTTTAATTTACTTTTTAATATCAGTAATGGCCTATACCGGGAGCTAACCAGAGTTCAGCCACTTCTCTTAGCATAAAAAATGACTGTGTACAGATTACTTGTCTTTTCTAAATCCTCCTGCCAGCACTGTCTCATTTAGCAGTGGATGTCTGGGAAGCTGCCAGTGGNTGCTGGTGATACCTAATTCAAAGCTCTACAAAATTCAGGAATGAAAATTATTGGTCAAGAAGAAAAGGATATTTAATTCTGAGAACTTAGAAAAAGTCTCCTCATCCACAATGTAGTTGTCCAAACAACTCGAGCCAGTTTAAATCAGTTTTAATTTACTTTTTAATATCAGTAATGGCCTATACCGGGAGCTAACCAGAATTCAGCCACTTCTCTTAGCATAAAAAATGACTGTGTACAGATTACTTGTCTTGTCTAAATCCTCCTGCCAGCACTGTCTCATTTAGCAGTGGATGTCTGGGAAGCTGCCAGTGGGTGCCCAAGTGGGAGTCTTTAGGTGGTGCTTTTGTTAAGTTGGGGAAAGGTTGGAAAGTCTTGAGGACAAGAGTCTTTGTTTTTTAATGCAAGTTCTGTTAACATTAGTAATCTGGTTGGTCAGGAATGATCAGGCCATATGAAAACTGGCTAATTTCTTACCTACGTCTAAGAGTTTTAAAGGGAAAATGTAGCATCCTAGGGAGGAAAGGAACCCATGTCAGAAGCCTCTTTAAGTTCTGAAGGCAGCTTAGAGGGTAGATGCAATCAGCACGACATAGAGGTTCTCTAGGCTCGTCTGGCCTCCTTCCCCTTCAGTTTGTGCTGAAAACAGGCTCTCCTTTTTCTTTTCTAAATGCCACTTTTTATATCCCACCTACCCTTTTGACTTCGGATTAAATAAATGTATTTTGATTGTTTTTGAGAGAGAGAACCTTGCAGGTACTAATCTCTCCCCTGACTCTGACTTGAACCCCGACTGGATCCATACACAGCCTCCTTTCCATTTCTTCCCTCTCTCTTTTTCTTCCTCCCTCCCTCATTCTTTCTCTTGCTCTGTTCTATTGTCTTTCACATTTTTGTACTCATTATTTCTAAATATTTAACCCCACCTGTTTGCAATGCAAATGTATGTTAATCTAATAGTTATGCTTTGTGACAGTGTCTGTGAAAGATTATTTCTGTTTTTTCTTTTTTCCTATCTAAAGAACCCCCACCCTGAATATGTATTTTCTGAATGTAATGGAACAAATTGATTCATTGATTTGGAACGGGCATGTGCTTGGTTTGGAATGGGCTTGGAATTGAAAAAACTAGAAACATCTTCTAGCCAGTTTAGGGCAAGTTATATGGTGCCTTTGAGAGTCCCCAGAACTCTGAATCTAATCAAGATAAGAAGCCTAGAACAGCTGGAAAGAATCACACACATTCTCAGGCACATGTGGCAAACGAGGCCCAGGTTTCTCTGGGGTGGAATACAGTAGGACCACCGAAATCCTGACTGTGAGCCTAGAAAGATGATTAATTTTTGTTGTGAGACTGGAGGTATGCCATTTTAACCTGTGCGAAAGTTCACATTAAATTAAAAGAGACAGAATAAGAGAAACTTCTATGACAGCCATTGCTTTATCTTTTCAAAAATCATTTGTTACAAACTAGAAGTAAAGATGAGTGATTTTTTTTTTTAAGGGGAAAAAAAAAAAAAAGGCTCCAGGTTTCTGTTCTTATTTTTTCCCCCTATTCTTTTTTGGATGGTACAGAAAGCTATGTTTCAAAATATTTGAAGGCTTTCCATCTCTGTACCTCCCAGGTTATTTTTTCTAGCACAATCCTGTGTTTGTAACACTGTGCTGTACATTAGAAGTAGGGTGGTACAACAGTTCTGTGGGCTTCTAAAGACAGTTTGAGATGTGTCATAAAGAGGTCTGTTTTCTTGTTTTCCAGGGATTGTTGTCTGTGAGGCACCTAACAACAAATTAGATAAATTTACGGGAGTCCTCTCTTGGAAGGACAGCAAGCACTCCCTCAACAATGAGAAGATAATCTTGAGAGGCTGCGTCCTGAGAAACACCAGCTGGTGTTTCGGAATGGTTATTTTTGCAGGTACGGCTGACAGTCCAGGCCTACATCTATGTGAATTCTTCCTGCAATAGGCATCAGCACAGTCTACAGTTCTCCAAGTTTGGATGAGCATGGTGCCCTTATTAAGTGCAAAGTGTTGCTCTGAAGTTGACTTCACAGTGCAGGACACCAGGGGAAGACACCATTGCTCTGAAAATAGTCCAGGTGGCCCCACAGTGTGAGGACCCACTGACATCTTGAACTTATTCTTAAGGATACTGGGGTCTTAAGTATGCAGTGGGTGCTAGATACCTACTGTTTTATCTCTCTTTTTTAAGCTATCTCAGTCATCGTTGTTATTTATGTATTAATCAGCCTGCCTTTAAAGTGGGTAAGAGTATGAAAGAAAGTCCCCTGCTATAACCTTTGTAGTTTGCAAAGGTCAAGCAGCTCTTTTGGACAAGACTTCTTGGAGATACTGCAATCATTTCCGTTTATACCCCCGTAGCTTCTTCCACCGTTTGTAAACAGGAGAGCCGGTTCTGGAAAGACTGTACGTGAGAGGGGGAGTGTGGGCAAAGGAAGGGGAGGTGCCTCTTTTCTTGCCAGCCATGTTTCCTTTCCCTACTTCATCTCTATGGGCCCAAGGTGGCACTCTCTTGCTAAGGAAGCTTACAGTAGCACCGTTTTGTAAAGCCATTCAAATTGTACTCATGGCTTCAATTGCCAGTCCTTGATTTTAAAAATCCTGTTTACTGTGACACCAAATTAAGATGTATTTTGGGCTCGTTGACTAGATGTGCAATCAAAATTGGAATGTTTTTCTTAACTGACTTTTCTCAACAAAAACAAAATGTTCATTAAAGACTCAAAAGTATTCCAAACTTAGAAAAGTTCTCCCAATTTTTCCTAAATACTCTCAGCTGTGGGTGTTAGCAAGGTTATTGCTGCTTGGGGCATTGCCATTGTAAGGAAATCCCTAGAAATGAGGCAGTATATGTGCTTTTATCTGGGGATGAGTCTGACTTTGTGATTCTCTCATTAGATACTTTTATTCTTTAGTCAGGGAAATAAACCTCTGATCATATATATTCCCTTATTTGCATCTTTCTTGCATAGAGAAAAAGAGAGCTAGGCTTATCCATAAACCTCCCTTTACCTTCTAACTTAATGATGGGGAGACTTCCTGAAGGTCTTCTGACGGCAAACACGCTACTGATTTGCTCCATCTCACCATAGAAATGGGGGTGCCTCATCCTGGGGATGGGCTATAGCCCAAAATTTTGTTTGCATTTGTATGATCTTGTTTGGAATGGCTAATTCAGGGCTCTAGCTCAGCTACAGCATGTTATGCTAGAACAGCTGTTGTGAGCCACTGAGAGGCCAAGTTTTCCTTCATAAGGTTGTCTCTATGGGAAAATGCTCTTACAGAGAAGGAAGTGGGGTAGTAAGTTGAACAGGTCTCCCTCCAAGGGAGTGGAACAGAAAGTTCACAGAATTTGGATTGGGCAGACCTTGGTTCAGATTTGTTTATCATACGTGGGACTATAAGCCTTGGTTACTAAACTTCCTAAGCTTTAGTTTCTTGCACTGTAACATGGGGATAATAACGAGTACATTAGAGTCATTGTAAAGGCCCAGTGAGATAATGCATATGGAAGAAGATGCTTGACAACTGTTATTTTCCTTCCTTTTCTGTTTCTCCCTTCTTTCACATTCAATTCAGAGCAGACTGCCTGTGCCATAGACTAAGAGCTGGGAAAACTTACTGCTCCGTGGACCTTGGCAGGGGAGAGAGGGGACACCCTCTTTTGTGATGTGGCCTGGGTGTTCACTTGTGGGGGATCTTTATCAAGTGGATATTTGTAAAGCAGAGCATGCCTGCATTGACTTTAGTCTGAGCACAAATGTTAATAGAAAGCTTAACTAGAATAATGACAAGGAGAACAATTAATAGTTGTTTTTTTCAATGTCAGAGTTAAACAGATAGGTATCTCAGAAGCCCTAAATCTTGAGACACTTGGTTGGGGAACTAGTTCCAGGTGAACACCTAGTTCTTATGAAAATTACCCAAAATGAAATATTAACTATACTTTCTATATTATTACTCTAGTTGTACCTACCAGTAAGAATCATGCAAGGAATATAGTTGGTACAGACATGGTTTACTTCATAAACCTGTAATTTATGAAGTTCTAATGTACATTTACAGCTGGGCCATAACTTGCTGGAAATGCCTTATTTTTTCTGCTTACGAGAAGAGAAAGTCTTGTTTTTGAGGGTAGGAGTCTTATTCATTACAGGAGTCCATAGGAGTCAGCACCATCTTGGTGTACAGTAGGTTTTTGTGCTAGATGTCTTCCATTTACCCTTCCAGATCTCCTCTCCCCCTTTTCTACCCTTTTCTCTGCCGCAGGAGGCTGACTTGTGTGGTTTACACTAGTAGTTTTCCATGAACTTTGGCTTCTATTTGGGCCCTGTCTTGGGGATCCCTGGGAAGGCATCAGAAAGGGAAAGAAGATTAAGATCAAGGCACTTATTCCCCTAGGTTATATTCCTGGGTGGTCACTTCAGGCTGGCTGGATCTCTCCACATAAGGCCACTCTTCCCCTAAACGCTGAAAACTCTATACACCTCTCTCCCTTGGGGTGCAGTAACCACTCCCTCCCTTCAATCCTTCTGATTTAGGTGGAGAAACAGCTTTATTGCTACTGAGCTCTCGGTTACTGCACTAACCTTTTGCTTCTTCCATACCACTACCCACACTTTTGTAAAGAGTTTTTTTATACATAAGCCCTCTTCCAATGATCTTTTTTCAATGTGTCATCTAACTAGAGTTCTGAATGAGGCACAGTCTTAAATATACATGGGTTGATTATTGCATATAGTTTCAAAAATAGTAGTTAAAAGCAAGAGCTTCAGAGTTAGATATGTTGAGGTTCAAATTATGGCTCAGATACTTAGTAGATGAGGAATATCAGGCAAGTTAAATTCTTTAAGCTTTAGTTTTATTATTAGTAAACTGAGGATAATAGTACCTAATTTGTTGGCTTCTTGTAAGCATTAGCTAAGATAATAGATTAAATGCACATATGCACATTGCCCTGCCATAGCAGGTGTTCAATAAGTTAATTAATTCACTAAACAATTACTTATTGAGTTTCTGCTATATGCTAGGCATTATGGTACTTACTCATTGGGGATTAAAAATGTGTTCAAAAAAGTACACTTTACTCACGTAGTTTTCAGTCTAGTAGGAGAGACAAAAAGACATTAATCTCAAGTAAAGAGGCACATCATGGGACAAGGCCCTGTGGCAGGAGTGCAGAGAGTGAGGTCAAAAAGGAAGGCCAGTGTGGGGCATCGAGAGCACAAAGGTTAGAGATGAACATGTGGCTGAGATATGAATAGAGGGGCTGGACCATGCAGAAGCTTGCAGTCTGTGTCCAGAATTTTGGTCTTATTTTACGAACTTGGAGAAACCATTGCAAGTGCATGAACAGGAGGGGTGGATATGTGTTAAATTTGAAAGATTCACTTTTGCCTACAGTGTTTATAATGTTTATAAATAGACAGTATGTCCTGGAAAGAGTGCATGATTGGGGTGGTGGAAGAGGAAAAAATACTAATTTAGAGTGGGGGCAGAGTGAATGCAGGGAGACAAAGTTACTAGGCTTTTATGGTTGAGAGATGATGGTACTTTGGATTAGGTATGGAAACAGAGAAATTGAGCAGCTTTTTAAAAAGTTGAGCTGACAAGCTTTGATGACCAGATTTGATGGTGAGGATGAGAGAGGTGACAACTATGACTCTTTGGTTTCTCCCAGTCTTCACAACTGAATGGACGGAAGTGCAATTCACTGTGATAAGGAATCCTAGAGGAAGATCATGTGCTAGACTGGACAAGGGCCACTTGAGGGGCCTTAGAAAGATCCAGGTGGAGATGCCATGCAGAACTAAGTATATGAGTTTAAATTATGGATTTAGAGCTCAGAGGAGCAGTATGAGCTAGAGATAGACATTTGGTCTGTAGGTAGCATTAAAGCTGTGGTCTTAGGTGAGATTGCCCAGGGAGAGTAAATTGAGTAGAAAGAGAAGGTGTCCTACGTCTGAGTCTTAAGGAATCCCAGTACTAATGGCTGGGGGTAGGGGGTGAACACCATGGAAGACAGAGAAAGAGCTACCAAAGAGGAAAAGCAGGGGAACATTGCAACACAGAAGCTAAGTGAAGGGTATGTTCCAAAAGGCTGAATAGTCAACGGTGCCAAAGGCTGTGAGAGGCTGAGAGTCATGAAGGATGTTGATGACAACACCAGCTCTGCTTTGGTGTAGTGACTGGCCCAGAATCCAGGTTGACTAGTGAGTGGAAGATGAGGACATAGGGGCTGTTGAGTATAGAAAATTCTTTCAGGGTCTTTGACTATGAGGGGAAGAAGAGATGTGCCCACAAACATCTGTGTCTATATGTAAGGTCTTCACAACCCATAAAGTGGATTTTTGTTAGTCTGTGTGTGTGTGTCTAAGAAATGGAAATTTTTTTGTACCAAACTCGTCTGTCAATTTTCAGTTTTGAGCAATCACAAACTTTATTTGGTCTTTGTGATCTTTACTTTAAAAGAAATATTTCCCACTCTCAGTGTCCAGATGACTCTAATAAACAATTCTGAGAAAATGTGGGTGGTCTCCTTTATGCAGCAGTAGCTGGAAATAGGACACTGGGGTACAATTTCCAACTCAAGACAATGAGTTGTTATGGGACCCCAAGTTTTGATTCCATCTGTCTTATTTTTTTTTTTTTCCTTTTTGTCTTTTTTACTGACCGGTAACGGGATCGCAACCCTCGGTGTCGCGCCCGTACTGGGGACCTGCAACGGGATCGCAACCCTCAGTGCTGCACCCACGCTGCGCTCAGCCAGTGAGCGGGAACCGGTCTCCACATGGGATCCGATCCCTCAGCGGGAGCGCCGCCGCGCTCCCAAGCGGCACACTCTCCAGTGCGCCACCGGGTCGGCCCCCATTTGTCTTTTAAGTAAGGTCTTTTAAGGATGTGCCCACACTTTTCTGGCTTCTAGAATGTTAAAAATTTTGTGTGTGCCTCCCCTGTCTCCTTTTTTTCAATTCTTCTTTCCTCCTGTATTAAATAGCTGCATGGATTGATTATCATGGGGAGGCAATATGGGGAGGGAATACCAGAGAGGTCAGTTATAATTAAAACTTAATTGCTTCTATTTAGCATTTCTCTGTCCACAAGGAATTTCCTTAGCAAAATATTCTAATATTCTGCCTTGTTAATCATCTGGTAATGCCCCTCTAAAGCAGTTAATAATATTCTTAGAATTCCTTGGACAAAGCACTTAGTAAATATATTATGAGATAATGTATTTACCTGAGATAAATCTAACATAAGATCGAAGAGAGTTGCCACCCTTAAAAAAGTACATATTATGTATACAGTATGCAACACCCAATAAAAGTTTAAATTACTTGCTGCTGTATTTTTTGGAGTTATTCTGGTTCTTCATTAAAGGCACCT